TGATGGAGGATACACGGGGGACGGAGGATGATTAAGGACATACGAGGACAGAGGGGGGGATGGTGAGGAGGTGGAGGAGGGAGGAGGTAAACGAGGCGAGGAGCTTTAGAAAGGGGGCGGGTGTAGCAGACGAGTCGGTGGAGGAGAATCGGACGGAGTCCGCGAATCATGAGGATGGATCGGGGGCGCGGGAGGAGGGGCAGGGAGGGAGGAGGGCCGAGGGCGCAAGGGGGATGGAGGTGGGGCAGGGAGGTTGGGAGAAGGAAGGACGGGAGCGGGAGTGGGTCAGCGCACGGACGAAATATTCGAACCCTCGCACACTTGAGGCGGGTGTTCATCACACACACACACACACACACACACGCCCCCGAAAACAAGGTTGAGTTTAAGCATGAGTGGTGATTTTTTGGCGGGGTTGAATATGCCTGTCCTCACGTGCCCTCTCCACTGCCGCACCCTCAGTCTTGTATGGGGAATCTAGGGGTGCAGCTTGCGCCGCAGGCTTCGTGCGCATGTTCCATGTACGGGAGGGAGCAGCGCCTTGAGGGAAGTACGGCGCAAGCGGTCTGGGCAGAGGCCAAGCTGCGTACCGTGCCATCGATTCCCCAGTGCGCGCCTGAAGCCCAATCCATGAGATCCTTGCTGCGCTTTCTTTTTCACCGAGCGGTCTCGCCTCGTCTCGGGCCCTGAGGCCCTCGCGCATCGTCCCATCTCGAGACATGCCACAGAGAGTAGGTCTTGAGCTCTGGTCCTGGTTTCTTCGCGACGTCGGCTTTCAGGGATTCCGGTGAGTTCCTGGCCTCGCTCTCCTGGCGCTGGAAGGGAACCCTGGCATCCATGAGCTTGTTGCCACGACCCGACTGTGTATGCTGAGTCGCCCAGAGAAGCAGTCCAGTGTCGATTCGATGTGCAACCGCGACGCTGGACATGTCCATCCGCCGGGCGGCTTAGCTCGGAGGGTGAGGGTTCTCAAGTGATTGAGCGCAGCCCATCTGGCAGCACGGTCGAAGCAGCAGTATTGCAGCCAGCTTGTCCAGGATTAGTGCAGTCTGTGATCAAGGAGCCGTCGGCGGCACCTTTTCGTATGCCCCGTGGGCCTTGCCTTAGGCCGCAATTTCTGGGGCGAAACTTGCGCGGCATTTGTTGATCATCCAGCGAGTCTGAGCCACATCCCCCAAGACAGGCCGCCTCCGGGCACCTCATCTCCCGTCACTTCACACGTGGGCTGCTGTCGGGCCTCGCCGCGCTGCTCGCCTTCAAGCGCGAGTGGCCCAGCGGCTCCGCGGAGGCTCCTTGCTCGAGACCTGGACGAGCGAGGGATATACAACTCAGCGAGGGTTTGCCTTCTGGAGCGGCATGCTGCTTCTGCCAGGAGGAGCGCGAGGGAGAGGGTGACGGCGCCCTGCCCGCCTCCTCCTCCTCCTCCTCCGCCTCCTCCTCCTCCTCCTCCGCCTCCTCCTCCTCCGCTCCCTCCTCCTCCGTCGGGCCAGACGTCCACGCACATTGATCCAAAAAGTGGTGGATGTCCCCCGCCGCCCCAGGAGAAGCAGAGACTGGAGCAGGACGGGCTGCGGCGCGGCCCCGCCCCGCGGTGGAGCCAGAGCGACGCCGAGGAAGGACGGAGTGCTTGGGTCGGTGGCGAGCGAGGGGGGGAAACTGAGGAGGGGCGGGCCTCCCCAGAAGGCTCAGAAGTCCCCTGGCCTGCTCTGAGAGGTCTCCTCAGCCTTCCCTGGAGACAGACAGAGCTCCTCGGAAGGCGCGGAGGGCTTTTCCGAGAAGCCCCGCCGCCTTCTGAGGAGGCCTTCTCCTTCCCACTTCCCCCTTCCCCTCGCTCGCCGCCCATCGGGGGCTGGAGCGCGCAGGGCTGCCCGCGGAGCTCTCAGAGGGCTCGGCGTTGTGTGGCCGGTGCCGTCCGCGCGCGCGCGCGCGCGCGCCTGCGCGGGCGTCGCGCGCACGCGCAGGCGGCGCTCTCGCCGAGGGCGAGGCGCCTCGCCCTCGGCGGCGCGCCCTCGCCCTCGGCGGGAGGCCGCGGAGGCAGAGCGGCGGCGGCCGATGTCAGCAATCGACGGGCAGGCTATCCAGAGGTTCGAGCACCACCGACTTGGCACGTCCCCTCCCCGAGGCCAGTTTTGCGTGCGCGGCCACGTCTCTCACTGCCCATCCTGCTGCCGCTCCTCCCGGCACTCCGATCTCCCTCCTCGCCTTCCGGAGCCAGGAGGGAGGAGGAGGGGCAAGCGCTCGCAGCGCAGGCGCAAGCAATCAGTTTGCTGGTGGGCTCCCTCTGTGTCCTTGTCCTTTCTGCTTTCGCTCGGATTTGGTGCGAAGCGCACCTGAGGCACTGGTACCGCTACAAGTCCCATCCCATGCTTTGGCCTATGCCCTTCGCCACGGCTGGATTATTCGAACGTCTGGTCATGATGCACACCGGGAGAGATCTGGGGACTAGCGGTATTGGTATCGTTTTGCCCCCCCCCCCCCCCCTCAGAAGAGGCGGCGCTAGTCTAGATCGATCACACGGAGTTGGAGACGGCCTGCTCGCTTGCTAAGCCGTGGTCGGTGCCACCGAGGGGGGAGTCGAAGAAGAACAGGTTGCATAAACACGCGCCGTACGAGCTAGAGGTGACAGCTATGCGGTGCAGGCTATGCGGTGTAAGCAGTGTCGCTTAAGCCATGCGGTTTGTTTACGCTATGCGGCATAAGCTGGGCTGGGCAAGTTGGGCTGTGCAGGCTGTGCCGTGTCAACAAAGACGCGGTGCGAGCCGTCTGGCGTGAGCCGTGTGGTGCCAGCTCAACGCGTGCGGCGCCCGCGAGGCCCCCACGAGGCGGCAGGGGCGCGGCCACGCGGCGAGCCCTCGGGAAAAGCCCACCCAGCGCGCACGGGGGGGGGGAGGCCGCGAGGCGCCTGCGAGGCGGCACGGGCGGCCCCCGGCCCGCGGGGGGAGCCCCCACGGAGCGCGCCCGGGCCCGCGGGGCGCGGCCTTCGAGCCGGCAGCGCGGCGGAAGCCCCGGGGAGCCCGCGCGGCGCACGGGGCACGCGAGAGGCGGCCATTGGGCGGCGGCGCGGCGAGTCCTCGGGGAGCCCACGCAGCGCACGGGGAGCCCACGAGCTGCAGGCAGCGCCCGCGAGGGCGCGGAGTGGTTCGCGCTGCGCGCTGCGCGGTTCGGCGCCGAGTCCTCCTCGTCCTCCTGCTCGCCCCTGGGAGGCGGCGCGAGGGCGCGAAGCGATCCGCACTTCGCGCTTCGCGCAGCGCGGAGCGCGACGTTGGGAGCCCACGGAGTTGGCACGGGCAGCAACGCGGCGAAGACTCGGTGGACCCATCCAGCCTCGACCACGAGAAGAAGCAGTGAGAACCCGTAAGTGCAAGCATGGTTTTGAGAGTAACTGTCGGACGTCCTCTCGGATTCCTGCGCTGGACCCGCTGGCGGCGCCTCTGGCACAACCTCTGTCGCGCTCAGCGCGCCGGGGGGGGGGGCTTCCAGCGCCAGTTCATTGAATCCGCGCGGACCTCCGAAAATCTATGTTCACGCAGTTGTTTGTTTCTCATGCTCTCGTCCTTCTTCTTTCCGTCTGAAGAAGCTGCTGGAGTTCCCCCCTCTTCTGCTGCCGGTTTTAGAGCTATCTTGCCCGCCCTCCGTGTACGCCGCTACAGGAGCTGGGACCCGACTGGCAGCAGATCCTGGAGAAAGCGGGTGGCCATGGGAGCGGAAACCAGACAAGATCCAAAGACCGGATCCATCTCCTCTCCCCTTCGCGCTTTCCTTGCTGCTGCCCGCAGCTTCTGCCTGCTATTCGCTTCTTGCAGCTTGCTGCTAATTAGCTGCTGACTGCGTCTTGATTCTGCCTACCTCATGCTTCCTGGTTGATGCCTGCTGCGTGTTGCTGCGGCTGCTGCTACTGCTGTTTACGAAGCAGATGCGGAGACGTGAGGGCGGTCAGCGCGCCCTCTCGCGTTTCCCTACCTTTCTGTGGTTGGGCGGCTCTCTTTCGAATGGCCTCCCCAAGCCTCGTCGAGGATCGGAGCTCGCTCTCCTCCCCTCCCCAGCGATCATGCCTCTGCCCTTCTCCTCCGCGGAAGACTTGTGCATGCATCGTGTTGCGCTGGCGTCTCCTGAGGCGTCGCCGCTCCTGGACCCAGGAATGAGGCAGCGCATAGTGTGTTTCCTGCCCCCGGGGCCCAAAGCCCAGTCGCGCGACCACGTCGCAGCGGGGCCCGTAAGGGAACCCAGACCCACACGTGGTGAGGTGCATTGGCGCCGCTCTGACTCTTGGCATCGCTCGGACGTGTGCATTTTTGCTTTTGCCTCGGCGAGGACCACCGAGGAGCATCCTCGATCCATTGGCGAAACAAAAGCACGCACGAAACCGGAACAAAAAACAGGGAAGGGACGTCCGAGCGATGGCCAGGACTCCTCCGTCTCCTCCCTCGCCGCCCGGGCTCTGCCGCCCCCGAGGCGGGGACACCAGCGCGCTGCGCCGCGCCTCCGGCGCGGACCTCGACGGGGCCGACCGGGCCGACCGGCGCGGCGCCAGCGGCGGCGGCCAGCAGGTGTGGGCAGGCCGCGGCGCGCCGCGCGCGGCCGCGCGCGCTGCGGCGTGCCCTCGGCGCCCTGGGCCCCCCTCGGGAGAAGCTGCGGGTCGTGGCCTCACCACCCACCAAGCCGCCCCAACCCAACCCGAAGGCCTCGAAGTGACCTCCATTTCCAGTGGGGGAGGGTCGGGGAACATCGAGAAAACCCGTACCCCCCCCAACCCGAAATTCTGGGCTCCGGGGCCGTTTTTCCCGTGGGGCCGGCGCGGGAACGCGGGGGTGACCTCGCTTCGCACGCCGCTCGGCGCGGAGCGCTGAGTCGGGCGGCCGAGGCACGTCCGTGTGATGGCGACGGCTGGACTCGCAGGCGCGTCCGGATCGATCGCGGCGCCGTTCGGGACGTCGGTCCCATCTAGCCTCATCTATTCTCCTCGTCTCTCATCTCGCTTCTCCTCTCTCTTGTCTTCCTCTCCCACCGACTTGTGTGTGTGTGTGTCTCAGGGTACTCCGAGGATAACTGATTGTGCTCCTATTCGTCTCGACCGAAGCGCTCGTCTGTGTTGGCCGTCGCTAACGTTGCGATATCTGGAATGCTCGCAGGTGCTCAACGAGGGCGATTTGCTTGAACGGCGCCCTTCGCTCAACAGGGTGTTGGAACGGAGTCGTTTGGTCTCGGAGGTTGGACTCTCCGAAAACCGAGAAGGCGACCACACGCCGGTCGTTGAAAGCAGGTATTTCTTCTGGACTCCCAGATCCCAATCTACATAAAGTCCCTTCCTGTTTCAAATATCGATCTGCTGTTGTTCTCTTTGAGGGCCTGGACCCCATCTACTTGACCCGCCTTCCTATACTTCATGCTTTCACCCACTTCATCCGGCCGACGTGTAACACAATGACCAGGAGGGAAGAAACACACAGACACAATCAATCGTCGATTCCCGAGGAAAAATGGAAAAATGTGGGAGGTGGGGGGGGAAGACGAAAATCGACAAAATATTGAAAAAATATGGGGAATCCTATTATTTGTGTGTATTTGTTTATATGTCCCAGGGCCCCTTCAAATGAGATCGCCGTGCTTCGACGATGTGGCGCCCTTGGGCCGGCCCCGGAGGCCTCCAAGACGGCCCACGAGGTTCCCAGCAGGGCCCCAAGATGGGACTCTGGGATCTTCTTGGAGAATGCTGGGGGCTTGGGCTCTCCGGTCGCAGACGCCCCCGGGCCTTCTGGAAAAGTCGCGCAATGGACCCCGCGAGAGCCTGGAGAAACGGCTGGGGACGGCCCAGGACTCGCAGGCCTGGGGACCTCGGGGCGAGGAGTCGTCCAGATGGGTGCTGGTCACACTCGAGGTTGACGGCTACTGCACCTGAGTGCGCCTCGCGCGGTGCTTGAGGCACGGTGGTGTACAATATGGTTTCCAGGGCGTCCAGCTTCGATGTGTTCCGAGTCGTGTGCCCCCACTGACAGGTCTTGACATCCAGCTCGAAGGCGTCAAGCCTTCAGAGCACGTTGCGGCCAGACGATCACAGTGGGCCCTGTGAGACTCTGGCAACGAAGGGGGTGGAAATGAGCGGGGACGGGAAGGATACGTGCGCGCCCCCCTCACGACATCCCCATTAGGATGCCGCGAGCCGAGGCCGTCGATCCGCGAGGGTCCTCGGGGCCCGAGGCGTGCCAAGACCAGCCCGCCACGGCTCTCTTCGGGGGCGACGACAGTGATGGGCCCGTTTTCCACCGCCACCACCACCACAAGTTGGAGGAGGAGGAGGGGGTCCTCGTCCTCCTCCTCCTCCTCCTCCTCCTCCTCCACCTTCTCCTCCTCCTCCTCCCCCCGACTCGCACACACAAGAACATTAGGAAATCCCAGGCATCTCGTCGAGAGGCCTGGGTATCGACGAGAGGCTCTCGGCACCACGAGGAATCTAAGAATCGCGACGTGGCCTCCTCCTCCTCCTCCTCCTCCTCCTCCTCCTCCTCCCCTCCTCTCCTCCCCCTCTCCTCCTCCTCCTCCTCCCCTCCCGTCCTCCTCTCCCCCTCCTCCTCCCCCTCCTCCTCCCTCCTCCTCCCCCTCCTCCTCCTCCTCTCCTCCTGCTCCTCCGCCCCACCTCCTCCTCCTCCTCTCTCCTCCTCCTCCTCCAGGCCAGGCTACTGACGCTCCTCCTCCTCCTCCTCCTGCTCCTCCTCCTCCTCCTCCTCCTCCTCCTCCTCCTCCTCCTCTTTCCCCCCCTCCCACTTATCGGTGGTGGTGGTGGACAGCAGGTCCAGCAGACAGGGGGGGGCGACGGGCCCCGTGGAGGAGGCATCGGCCCCGGGCCGCCCACGCCTCGCCGGGTGGGGGCCTGTGCGCGTGCCCCCCCCCCCCCCCCGGGAGGTGGCGACCTCTCGCCGTCGGGGGCACGCTGCCGCTCCCGCGGCGGTGCGCCGCCGGCTCCGAGCCACAAGCGCGCCCTCGAGGGCGCGAAGCTATTCGCGCTTCGCGGTTCGGCTCCGATTCCTCTCCTCATCCTCCTCTTCTCCCCTGCCCCTGGGAGGCGGCGCGCGAGCGCGAAGCTGTTCGCACTTCGCGCCTCGCGCAGCGCGGAGCGCGAAGTTGGGGGCCCTCGGAGCCAATGCTTCCCCCCTAGGCCCGCACGCATTCTTCACTTCTGATTCTTCGAGGGTTCTTTGATTTTTTGGAGGGCCAAGATCCTTTCTCATTTCTATATGTTCCATCCTGGGCATCTCCCTGGCCACCAGGGGGACAGGAACAATGAGACACGAGCGCGATTAGAAGTGAGCACGATCAGAAATGAACGACGTGTACTGTTATGGCAGGTTCGTGCCGTGCCGACGCGACCGCGACCTTGGCGCCGTCGATCGAGGTGGAGCGCAGCCAGTGGCCCAGAATCGACCGGGAAGCGGCAGACATCGAAACGCTCTGGCGGATCGCTCAATGTTGACAGCTCCACGCTGTGTCAGAACCCAACGCTGGGATCGTCCCTGCGCAGCGTCCCTCGTGGTGACACGATGGCTGCAATCGCACCCTGACGCAGGGCGGCCCTGACGCAAGAGTTGACGCCGAGCTGGTCGGGCCCCGTCCAGAATTATTGAATGGAGGACCTCCCCCGTCCTCTCTCAGGGGGGGGGGACCAGCGCTCCCGGCGGCGAAAGACTTGCGAGACTCTTCCCCCCGCAGCTCGGCCACGGAGCTGCCGCGTCCCAGCCCCTCGCTGCTCGGTCTGACTCGCGTGCTGCCGAGAGGCAGGGCTCTGACGTCCTCGGGCCGCATCGTGAAGACAGCTGCGAGGCCCCCTGGGCACGGCCCCGAAGCGCTGGAGAAGGGCAGCGGCCCTCGGCCCCGGGGCCGCTTCCCCGACACGCCCCCTCCCCTGGCGGCTCGAGGCCTGCCACCTCGCGGGGGTGGTCGAAGAACAGAGGCCTCGGTTCCAGCGCTGCAGAACAAGCGTTGGACCCTGAGGTCCGCGAACCCAGGCACGCTCGCGTCGTAAACAAAAAAATCGGGACGGGGGGTCGTTCCTCACTAGTTGGCGGCCTCGAGGGGGCCCTCGCCGGGCCTCGGGAGCTTCAGCACACGACTCGATCAGGATGAAAACCCGGCCCCGGGGAAAGGGTCGGGAGTTCCGGGGAGGCCGTATTGAAAAAATCAGGACGCCGCATGTCTGGGAATTGGAGACCATCGCTCCCCGGGGCGTGGACGCGAGGCGGCCCTGCGGCCACACCGCCCCCAGACGTCCTCCACGGGGGGACCCGCTCCGCGACCCACCCCGCGGCGTTTCCGCGACCCACCCCGCGGCCGACCCGTCCAGGGCTCATTTCGATTCCTCCGATTCGATTCGTTTTCGATGTATTCCGATTCGATTCGACTCAGGATTCCGGTCTGGGATCCGATTTCTCAATGGAGGCCTACAATCCTGCCGATGTCTACCGATTCGGCTTTTCCCGCCTCGGCTGCCGATGTCCGCCGATCCATTTGTTTCGATCGCCGATCCGACGTAGCGATTCGATTCTGGGCTCTCCTGCCCTACACCCGCCCCCTCGCTTTTGTTCACGATTGCGGTGTGCTGCGTCACGCCGCCCTGACGCTGCATCACCCCAACATGCTAATACTAAATGTGTGCGTCGCCCCCCCCCCCCCCCCCTAGGGGCGACGCGCGTACCGAGAAGTCTTCTGGTATCCGCGTCGTGGCGGGCGCTTTCTGGCCACACCGCTCGGGAAAGGATGCACTACAAGATGGATGTACTGTAGATGTTCGGGTCGGACGCACGACTCCGAGGAGGACACATATCGAAGAGGAAGAAACGCCATAAACATAAACTGTTGGCGCTCCGTGCGGATTTCTTGGATCCTCGTTGGGCCCCCCTCCCTGGCGCGCGGAGTGAGCCTGGTGCGGCGCCGGAGGCGCCGCCAGGGGGGCCCCAGCGCGGATCCAAGAAATCCGCGCGGAGCGCCAAAAGTTTATGCTTATGGCGGTCTTTCTCCTTCTGACAGAGTACTGGCGTGCCCTTGTGCGCCCCACTGACGCGAGGGGGCCCTGCGGCCACAACGCCCCCCGAGGCGTGCTCCACGGCGGCGAGAGGCCGCAGCAGGCCCCGGTCACCGCCGCCGGCATCCTCGGCGCCATGGCCCTCGTGGGCACGAGCGCGGTGTCGGGCGCTCGGCCGCTGCCACGCGCGCGCGGCGCGCGCGGCGGCGGCGGCGCGGTGACGCCGCCGCTGCATCCGACAGCGACATCGAGGATCGAGGATCCGCGCCGCCGCAGGATCGAGGAACGAGGCTGTCGGAGGCTCAGCCGCCGCAGGGTCGAGGGTCAGGCACCGCGGCGCAGCCGCCGCCATGCTTTGTTGTTGCCGTTGTTCTTTTTCAAGCCATCGCGAGGGGGGCCCAGCGGCGAGGCGAGGAAGCGACAGACGACGGCGAGGACGAGAGAGAGAGGGGAGGGCAAGGGGCAAGCGGGAAGGGGGACTAGAAGAGCACGGCGGTCGCGCCGCCGCCCCCGGAGCGGCTCCTCGGGGCGCTCACCCCAGCTCGGGAAAAAACCACGCACGAAACCGAAAAAAACTCAGAGAATGGACGTCCGAGCGATGGCCAGCGGTCGGGGGCGCCCGGCCGCTCCCGCTCCTGCAGGCGGGAGCGCCGGGCCGCCCCGCAGCCGCGCCGCAGGCACGCAGCCGACGCGGGGCCCTGCACCGCCACGTGCGGCCGCCGGGCTCCGCCCGCGAGCGGCGCCCTTCGCATAGGGCCCCCGCCCCTGCCGGCGGCGCCGCCTCGGCGGCGACCGCCGCCCTTCCCCACCCGCGGCGCCCGCCCGCGGCGGTGCCCCGGCGCCGCCCAGCGCTTGGGGTCGCTCGGACGTGTGCATTTTTTTCTCGGCGAGGGCCATCGAGGAGCATCCGTGACCATTTGGGGAAGAAACCACGCACGAAGCCGAAAAAAGCACAGGGAATGGACGTCCGAGCGATGGCCAGAGCGTCGCCGCACCCTGGGGCTGCCTGGGCCGGCGCTGCCGTGGTGCGCGGCCGCGGCACGGTCGCGGATCGAGGAGCGGGGCTGCTGGACGTGGATGGCCTCTCCTCGAGCATCGCCGGAGGCGCAGATGCCTCCAGAACGCCCCACGATTCGAGCACAGACGAAGGCAGAAGTGTTTCGCACTGTTGGGCCTCAGGGGCCGTCTCGGGCCCTGGGACCATCAGGAAACGACCCAGGATGAAAAACAATGGTCCCGCTGATGGGGTCGAGAGCTCCCAGGGCCCACGTCACGGAGAATCGTGACTAGAGGTCCAGGCCTCGCCTCCGCCTCTTGTCCTCCTCTTCCGCACTGGCTTGCTACTGTTCAGAGTTACGGGAACTGGAACTAAAGCTTCCCCCCTGCTCTTCCGAGTGCCACCACCTGAACCCACTCCTGCTCGTCCGAACGGGATGGGGCGAGGGATCAGGACGAGGATTGGGACAGAGGGGGAAGGAGGAGAAGCAGCAGCATGAGGAGGAAGAGTAGCAGGAGGGGAAGGAGAAGAACGACGATCACGACGAAGATGTCGACGACGACGACGACGACAACGACAACGACGACGACGACGACGACGACGACGACGACGACGACGACGACAACGACTACGACGACCACAACGACCACAACGACGACCACGACCACGACCACGACCACGACGACGTTGTCGACGACGTTGTCGACGACGTTGTCGACGACGACGACGACGACGACGACGACGACGACGACGACGGGGCAAGGCAAGGCACTGGTGGGTCTCCTGATTCTGATGCGCGTCTGCCTGTGACCCCCTACGCGAGCAGGAGGAAGGGGAGAGGAAAGACGAGGAGGAGTTCGCGCAAGGAGGGGCCCGTCTCATCATTGGCTCTCCCTCCCTCTCTCCCTGGGCCGCCTTACCCCTCTACCTGCCTCCCTTGGTGAGATGCTTGAGCATACTACTAGCTTGCTAAGTACATTGGATCGCACACACTATCCAGAGTCGCGGAGGAGGAGGAGGAGGAGGAGGAGGAGGAGGAGGAGGAGGGAAGTCCCAGACAAAAAAAAAAAAAACTACTATCGAGAGGCCTGGTATCGCAGATGAGGCTCTCCGGCACAAGAGGAACTAAGAATCGAGGCGTGGCACTCTCCTCCTTCCTCCTTCTCCTAACCCTCCTCCTTCTCCTCCTCCTCCCTCCTCCTCCCCCTCCTCCTCCTGCTCCTCCTCCTCGTCCTCCTCCTCCTCCTCCTCCTCCTCCTCCTCCTCACCCTCCTCCTAGACGGAACCCTCGACACCGTCCGTGCGGACTGACTTCTCGTCGCATGGACGAGCTGCCCAGAGCTCTGGAAGTGACAGTCAAAGCGTTGAATTACGGTGATGATCGAGTTCGGAAGTGGCTCGCGGTTCCTTGCAAGAGGTCCCGAGGTCCTTCGCCTCGTTCGGCCCCTCGAGGCCCCCCGCTGGCCCCCAGAGGCCTTCAAAAAAGCAGCTTGGGATGAAGCGCTGGTCTCTGGGAAAGCCCCGGGGTCTTACGCAGGACACGTGACCTTTCCACTTCATTCGGCGGCGAGCCTGAGGGGGACGGGCC